CACGGTTTTGCAAGCGAGATCTTGGAATTAGGTACTCATCTACCTACAATTTCTCCGAGCAGGCCAAATACCAAGTAGCACGTGCCAGACACTATGTTCAATATATCGAACAACATACACACAACTCATGCTAGAGTTGAGCTTTTCAATTTACTCACTCCCCCCCATCATCGAATACTGCAGCATAATATACGGAAATATGAGAGTGACAGAATTGCTGTGGAGCACTTGCAGAATTCATTTCCTAAACATCTAATTGATAGTCACTTTGCTATGAGTTATCGAGAACGTTGCAATGCACTACATCTCGAAGCACTTTGGATTCGACGATTGAAGCAAAACTTGTTGCTGCTTTTCAACATGTTACACAAAAGGTCCTCTTCCAACCTGCCTACACTTGATTTACAACATTGCTTAACTCGAGCGCTTCCCAACAAAGCTTTTTCATTGAATATTCCAGAGGCTAAAACTAACGTCCGCTCAAGTTTCTTCCTGGTTAGATACAGCTATCTGTGGAATAAACTGCCAATAACACACAGGTCATGTGACAATGTGGCAACATTTGGTAGCAGACTCGCCAATTACCTTGATCTAACTACCCTAAGATCTATATTCACATGGTAAAAATCCCTCCATAAGCTATTCCAAGTGGGTCGCAAAGCATATAAACATCAATGTTTTCATAACTAGGCTTTGGCATCAACCATCCTCCAGAATGTTAATACATGAAACGAATATCCCAATACTCCAGCTATGCATGTTACACATGCAAGATCATGGTTTTTCGGTACAAATTGGTCTGTGCCGCTATGGACACAGTTTCTCTCATCAAGATAAATATACATATTATTATTATTATTGCGCTGAGCAGATTGGTATACTCTTAATCACAAGGTAATAAAATGTTTGTGGTCAGTAACAAGCACCTGAATAGGAAGGTGTGATACAATGATTAACCAATTAGAACAAAACAGTTATAACCAGCGGAAGTCTGTCGAAAAAACATTGTAGTACCTGATAGTAAGCACAGTAGGATATTCATTTTACCACCATCCGCTTCGAAACCGCTACCGCTCTGAAACTGACGATGTAATCACACCAGTCTTGAAACATTTGAAATCAAATTACCTCGCTAGGCGGACAAGTTGGCAACGGAAAAACGATCTTGGAAAACCAGTATTCCAGAGTATTTAGGCGGTCGACATGCAACGAAAGAAAGCGATGAACGGTAATGGTTTTTTTCCATCTGATTGAGATTCTGAGGATCTGAGGAAAACTACTTTAACATTCTTGGCCAGTTTCGTACGGACTAAGTATGGTTTCATAGAACTGGCAATTTCCGTTTAAGGTGCCAGACCAAAGGCGCATTAAACACTCTGCGGACCGCAGTCGATGGGATTTGTTTTGTTACGCTAAGGAAGGAAGCGGTGTCACGTTCTGCTGCTTACACTTCGTTCAGTTGTATTTGACCAATTTTCTGCTCCCATACCACCGTCTACGGGAATCCAGTTATTTAAAGCGAACTCATCTGCAGGACTCCCATCAAAGACCCCTCTCCAGCCATTCCTTTGGTTGTTATACTGGAATTCCCAGAGGATTTTAGCCGATAGAGAGGAATCAGTTGTGGTAAAATTGGTTTATTTATTTACTGCCTATCATAAATCCGAGTTCCGCACACATCGGGGGATAAGACCGAAAGTGTATGCAAGTGCACTTTTTTGGCCTATCTGATTTGATATTCAGGATTTCGAAGTGGCTAAAGGAGGCGAGCAATATGGCTTTTTTGATCATACCAAACCAAAGGACACTGTAGTTCTGTGGATAGGGCTCTAAATTTAGCTGTTAGCTGTTTACTCTTACGCCGGAGAGCTACAGGCTGTGCGTTGGTAAAAAACTGGTAAGCCATAGCGAATTGAGACCTCCGGTGATAGTTCGTTTTAGTCGATGCATACATATGAATCAAAGACTCTGGGTAGAACCTGGTACACAAACCATTAAAGCAGGTAATAGTTGAAACGGCCAAACCTTGATTCCTGCGACAGGTGGTATGGCTTCAATAGTGTTACGCTTATCATTATGTATACAGCAAACTTCAAAAAGGTGGGATACTGATGAGGTTGTTGCTGATGATTATGGACGATGATGATGGTGATGATGACGACGACGACAATGATGATGATACTGGATGATGCCGCTGATGATGATGGTGATGATGATAATGATTGATGATGATGATGGTGATGATGATGATACTGCTGCTGCTGATGATGATGATAATTATGGATGAGGATGATGCTGCTGCTGATGATGATGGTGATGCTGATGACGAGGACGATTGTGGATGAGGATGATGCTGCTGCTGGTGATGCTGATAATGATGGCGATGATGATGATGATGGTAATGATGATGCTGATGGTTATGGATGAAGAAGAGGATGATGGTGACGATGATGATTATGATGCTGAATACTTGATACGGAATACTGGTTCGAAGCAGCGAGTAGCGCTTTCTCTGTGTAGCTGCATCATTCGTTGCTCTTGGATATATACTCCTAATTCATCGTTACGCTCTCCATATTTTGTCTCTGCAAAGTGTTTTTCTAAGAGCTTATTAAATTCGGACGCTAAGTTCACTTCTACTATGTGCTGCGCAGCTCGTTCCAGATATTCACCACTCTGTATTCGAAAAACAGTTGGTGAGCGACCTGCTTCAACTTCGGTACGATGAGTTTATACCGGTGCCCTCGCGTGCAGCTTGGTGTGTGTAGATGAAGCAGTTTTCTCAACATGGGGTAATCACCCAGATGTAATATCCGGTGCGTCATGATGAGGTCAACCCTCAGCCGACGATAGGCTAGGGTGTACAGCCCTAGTTTCTTACCTCTGTCTTCGTATGGCATACCTCGTAAGTTGGGAATCAGCCTAGTGGCTACATGCTGCACCTGCTCAAGCTTTTCTACTTCGCCCCGGGTGATAGGACAACACGCGGGAGAGCCGTACTATAGCATTGGTCGTAGTATCTAGGTGAAGACGCGAGTGGTAATCTCTACGGACCAAGTGCTGAAGCTGCGCCTGAGGGCCCAAAGCATCCGAAGGCTGTTTTGGTACAGCCTATTCGTGTTGTCAATGGAATTTAGGTCGCAGCGTGAGAGTACACCGAGGTCGCGCACAAAAAGCGCGGGATGCAACGGTTGACCAGCCACTGTGTACGTTCGGCTGTGCTCACACTTACCCAACCTCATGAATTGCGACTTAGCAGGGTTGATCGGAAGGTTAACCTCAGCAGACCATGTTGAGAGGCTGTCGAGATCCTGCTGAAGTAAATCACAATCATTGTGTGTGCGGATTACTCTCCACACCTTCAAGTCATCTGCGAACAACGCACATGGTGATTGGAGTAGCTTAGGCACATCGTTTACATGGGTTAGAAATAATATCGGCCCCAGTGCAGTGCCTTGGGGCACGCCGCAGCTCGATGGATACCAGTCCGTTAGATGGTTCTCCACCTGGACCCTCCACTTCCGATCCACAAGGAAATTTCTGATCCATTGGTGCAGCGAACCACCAACACCGCACATCCTCAGCCTGTCAAGGAGCACTGCATGGTTAACCTTGTCAAAAGCCTTACTGAAGTCAATGTAAATGACATCGACTGAATGGCCTTGGTTCATCGCTTGTAACCACTCGTGCCTTGTCAACAGTAGGTTGGTGATGCACGGTCGACCTTTCATGAAACCATGGTGTGCGGTGGTCAACAGGTTTTTCGACTCGAGAAGCTGCAGAAGGCTTTTCTTCACGATCTTCTCGAGCGTCTTTGCCAAAACTGCCGTCAGGCAGATCGGCCGGTAGTTATCCACTTTACTTGGGTTACTACCTATCGGTATGGGTTTTACGACTGAGCATTTCCAATCGTCTGGTAACAGTCCATTGGATAGTGACCTGTTAAACAGTTCAGTTACAGAAGGCGAGATGACGGCCGATAGGGACTTGAGAATCAGTGGGTGTATACCATCTGGCCCAGCAAGCTTCATCCCGTCAAGATTTGCTAGAAGCTTGCGTACATCCTCAATATTGCAGTCCAGGCTGTTAAGTTCGCCTGGAGCGGTACTCGTCGAACTCGTTACAAACACCTGGTCATTTGCAAACATGGAGGCGAAGTGCGCCGCCAATGCGGACGCACGGTCTGTACTCAAAGTTATGGACTGTCCTTCTGAGGTTTCTAACACTAGGATATTGGCTACAGGCCTCAGGCGCCGCTTCAAGTATGCGAAGATCCTCTTGGGAGCAGTTTTTGCGCCGGTTGCAAGCTCCTCCTCGAAACTTTCGCGTTTGCTTGTTTTTGCATTGTTGCAGCGATTTCGCTGTATTTTGTCCGCCTTGTAGTCCTCAGCAGAGTCAGATAACATGAATTTGTTCCATAGTCTGCGTCGCCGTCGGGCCAGTTTGTTGTACTCGTTGTCGAACCAGTGCGGTTTGAATGGCCCAACTTTTCGAAATTTGAGGGGTACAAATCGGGCGCACAACAATTTCACTCCCTCTTTTATGATGGTCCAACTAATTTCAATTGATGAATCCTGTGGTAAAGACCAGTCTATCTGGCTCCCTGCTCGAATGAGGCCATTAAAGTCCACCTTCCAATAGTTGAAGGCCTTAGTTTCCTCGAAAACTAATTTTTTCATCTGTTTATTTGTTTATTTTCTAATAGCTCCTTTAGTACGCGCTGGTACCATCGCTGTTGCTGGAGACTTGTTCCAATCGCCTTTAGAATCATGCCATCGAAGCTCTGAATTAAACAGAGGCTGTGACATACTTACATTCCAGTGGTGTTGCGTAATATTTTTTACTTGAACAATATTTGTTTATTGTACTAGACAGCAATTTTCAATTATCCCTGTGAAGTTTCATCTTTTTCTGATGTCCAGTATTTTTGTTTACTTGCCGGATGACTAAATTGAAGAGGGTCAAATAATAAGTTCATTTATAGCAACAAACCAACCAACCTGCTTCGGTTAGGGATAGCCCCGACAGCTGACACAACTGAAGCATTTCGGAAAACTGAAATCGATGGTCCGGATTTGAGCCAAAGTGAGAGCGTTCAGAAACCAGGTTGTGAAGTTCCGTTGCTTTTGTTGGACTGATGGTAAGGTTGACAAAATGTTTTGAATATGGTAGGATTCCAAAAATTAAACATAGAATCAGCCGTGTTAACAAGTAACTTGCATAAGACTATTCAGTAACTGAGATCGCTTGGAAGCTTTTCAGGTGGCGTTGTGCCACTCTGAAAAAATCACTGCAGATGCTGTGAGTGGATTCATTGCGGGTTTGATGTTTGACTGTTATACGAGTAAATTTGGGATAAGGGAAATTCGGCTTACTTTTCAACTTTCCTAACGTCGCAAAACAATTATACTTGTGGTCGAGTCTCACAGCAGGAAATCGTTTATTAAAACACACGAAAGGTCTTGAACTAGAACTATCTACACGACTGGTACACTTACTGGCTCATGACAATTGCGACTACCGCTATCCAACCAGAAGGACTTCTGATACTGCGGGTGAGTACACGTCCGTGAGTACTGTCGTAATTGACTAGTTTTGAATTTGGAACCGTTCACTTATTCATCCGACTAAAGTTTAAGGCAGTTTTTACCTGCTCATTTAGGCTGAATTTGATTTTCTGCTTTTAAGCTTGCTGTTAAGTTCTCTTACACCATTTCAGCTTTTCTGCTTTCGCTTATGTACAACAAATGCCCTTTCACTAAATTCAAGTGTGCACATTATCTTAGTAAAACCAAGAATCAAAACCGGGCTAGAACAACCACACACATTTTTGAGATCAAAGAAGAGAAAATTGGTAAAATTTAGACATCGTGCAGTGTATGCTTCACAACTGCGGTCATTAATCAATGCAGACAGAGCAAAATTGTTTTGTTAGCTGTAATTTTCACATTTCAAAGGGAGATTGATTTTTTGATACAAGCACTTCTTGTTTGGTCAATGGTCCACACAACTGGGGGCCAAAATAGCTGGAGGATATGCAAATATGGTCAATCATCTATATATGTGATAAGGCGCTGTTTCATTTGGACCTGTGCGAGTGAGTGGTGCGATGCAAAGCTGGAGTATTACTGGTAAAGCAAACAATGCATAACATGTCCCGTGGGATGGAGCTTATTGAGAGAACACAAATTCGTGATAAAATGGAAAGGGTTACCATAGACATGTGTAAAAGAGTCGAGATGTTCGCGGGATAAAGGTATAAATCCATTAATCCATTGGTTACAAGGTTAAAAACATACCGTTTTGTCTCGTTATGTTACCTCTGACTAACACAAATTCTAAAACGAAATGTGAATGGGACAATGCTTTTTCAAGTGTTTTTAACTATCATTATATTATTGACTGAGGCGACATAAGTTGGAAGGAATTCCACGGCTGAAACATCCCGAGGCAGGAGATATTCCTGTGGAATTTCACTTGGCCATATTTTATTCTTAATTTCTAAAAGTGACATCTCAAATTGGTGCTGTGGTTCGGTTCCATCGACGGATGGCAAATGTGGTTTGGTTCTTTAGAATCTTGTGCAACTGTGTCACTCGCAAGCGCCGATATCGACTTTTGCAAATTCCAAGGGACTCAAATTTAAACTGGTAAGGCAGTTGAAAGAAGCAATTAATGTCCTTCGTTGTTATACTTTGAGGTGTCAAGTCAATATAGGTATTATCTCTCTGTGGTTAACTGGGATTTACCTGTTAGCAACATCCGGAAAACTACCAGGATCATGCATGCTTTCAATCACTTTGGACTCTTACCTTTTTCAAAAGCAAATTCTCCTCTTACCGAACGCAGCTAAACCTTTGTAAAAACAGTTCAGTTACTTTACCCTGCATACAGTTTACTCTCTGTCCATGGGGACAATATTTTGCGTACCCAGAGCATTTCTCAAGGTCATACAAATCGATTTCGCATCACTGATCCCCTCATTTTGATCCCCTACAACAGTTGGAGTCATCACAACATATCCTCTGAAAATCCTTTCTTTTTAACAAAACATGTACATTTCTGAGGGTTAATGTCACCAGTGATCATTTGTACAAGCTGTATCGAGCAACTTCGGACAAAAGCCCATCCTCTTCTCATTACTGTTCCGTCATCCTATTTATTTTCGCTTATTCCTCTCCTACCACTGTTGGGCACGACTAAGCAGATCTCACGAGGTGATGGATAAAAGCTTACAAATACTGCAGTACGCTCATGCAATGTGAATTGTCACGAACTCACGAGGGAATAGTAAAATTCTTTAAATCGAACCAGCTGAATGATGACTGTATGATGGAGACCGCTTGACATATAACAAAGGTACCCACATAACAATACACATATGTATGTAAACTGTGTCCCATTGATGATGATAAAATTGCGTATGACAACAGCCAAAAAGGAAATCTACAATAACTGGGTCAATGAACAATGATATATTACAGGTAAAAAAGCGATTGCTTTACAAGTCCCGTAGGATGGTTGAAGTGAAAGTAAACATCAGTGTAAATCGTCAGTTTAAGCTTCTAGTGAATTCAAGTGCCCCTTATTCATAGAAACGCTGTAGAATATGTACTGAATTGTTAATGTAGAGTAAGATGGGAAGTAATATGGGTAAGGCAGGTCTTAAGAACAATAGAAACGACCAACGCTTACTCGTGCGCCGCTTTCTTGGACTGGGGTAAATTGATGAATGCAGTTGTAATATATCCGATACTATATTCCACAACAGCAGTGTGTAAATAGTGAAGCACAAAAGCTGAGAATGAGCACCGTATTTTTCGCGTTTGTTTGACGTGGACATCTCTGATTATATAGCGTAATGTAGGCGGATAAGCGAATCATCCAGACGTCTTTTAAATATCGATAGCGTGGGGGAAGAAACAACGTATGTGGGAAGAGCGTTCCAGTGTTGGCACACACGAAGGGAAAAGAAATTCCGGCGGCATTCCAACCGGCTGTATTTTGTGGCCAGCTTTAGATGGTGTCCTCTGAGTGTTGTATTGCTATTCAGCTTAAGTAGGTGACGACAACAATGGTTTGGATTCCGCAGAATCATATAAGTGATTATCAAGTCGCCACGCAGGTGTCGATATTGTCCACTGTAGACCCCGAGGGTTTTCAGCCTCAATCGGTAAGGGAGATGAAATAGGCCCTTGACGTTCTTGCTGGCCCTTCGTTGTGGCAGTTCAAGAGCGGTAAGGTCTTGCTTCTGCCATGGCTGCCAAGCCTGGATGGCGTACTCAGAATGAGGCCGAATGTAGGCGTTCAGCATCTCGGAAAAGATGGAAGGATCGAAGCGCCCGCATGCCCTCCTCAAAAGGCCAAGGTTTTGGTTAGGTTTTTTGTAGGCTTTCTCGGCCTGACGGGAACAGCCCAGATCTTCCTGCACTCTCACGCCTATATCGCATTGCGTTTTTGTGCGCTGCAATATTTGATCTCCCAGTCTGTATTCACAAGTGGCTTTATGGCGTATGCTCAGCACCTTGCACTTTGTAGCATTGAACTGAAGCAGGTTCTGATTCGACCATTCGTAGACCCTGTCCAGATCATCCTGAAGTGCTGCATTGTCGCTGCTTGTTCTAATGGCTCGCCATATCTTGAGATCATCAGCGAAGAGTAAGGAGTTGGAGTTGATTACCGTCGCGAGATCGTTTATGTAAATCAGGAATAGTCGTGGACCAAGTACTGAGCCCTGGGGCATTCCGCACTTAACGTCGATTGGGTCAGAGATGATGCCGCGAACTCTTACATCCAGATGTCGTTGAAGCAAGAAGTTAGCTATCCAACCGAGGATTGGGTCACCAATTCCACAACACTGCAGCTTGTGAAGGAGGATACGGTGGTTCAGACGGTCGAAAGCCTTTGAGAAATCCAGATATACTGTGTCAACACCTACGCCGCTCTCAACGGTTTCAGTCCAACTAGATCTGGCAAGCAGCAAGTTTGAAGTGCAAGATCGGTTCTTCCGAAACCCATGTTGCTCTTGTGCTATGATATTTCGTTCTTCCAAAAAGTTCATCAGAGTTTCGGCGACAATCGCTACTTGCTTTAAGCCACAACACCACATGGCCAGATGAGATGTGTAAGTAGAGTGTGGAAGCAGATCCCGGGGAGACGGTGACATGAGGGATCGTATGACTTTACTTGAACTAACGGCTAAACCTACTTTTATTCCTACGCTCAGCCTCTTCACATTCTCTTGCTTTAAATGACTGCGCGCCCCAAAAATTCCATTGCGCAGACAAGATCTTGAAAAATTTCTCTCCACTATCCGATTTCGTTGCACCAATTGTTTAGGCTCATGTTCTGCGTGTGCTTCACATGTCGAGGACTATACCATTTTTTAGTTATAGCGATACCGTCTTTCTGCTATGGGCACCACGCTTGAAAGACTTATTCCACGTGCGGTCAAACTTAGGCGTTTGGCATTTTTTGAGGGGATTGAGGAATCGAACCGACGGAACACATTGCAAACATGGCAAAATTGTTGATTGCAGTTTCTCGTTGCCTCCTCTATTTGTTTCATACATCAGAGATTGTCATGTAGAGGCACGCCCAGGTCAAGCTCCTGAGAGGCTTTCCGCAACGTATGGCTTCTTATTAGTTAATAGCACACCAGCTGATGACACAAGTATATCAATTTTCACTAAGCCGTGTTCAACTGAAGTAGGTTTAACGTCGACCATTCATAAACGCAATCCAGCACATGTTGAATGGAATTATGACTTACCTTTCTGTTAATCTCTCGCCACACATTAGCATCATCGTCGCAAAGCAGGAATTTTGAGGTGATAACTCATGTCAGTTTCTTGCTAAACGCAAGGAACAGACGCGGCCCCAGCATCGATCCCTGTGGTGCACCATATTCCACCTAAACCGGGTCAGAGAGCAATCCACCAAACACGCACCTGAAGCCTCCGTTGGTGAAGAAACTTGGTAATTCACGCACGAACCGGATCTCCTATTCCGTAACTCTGGAGTCTGGCAAGATTGATACGTTGATCCAGGCGGTTTAAAACACTGAGGAGATTCATTAGATGGGGTGGACTCCGATCTCCCCATCGGCCACTTTGTCCAACCACCTCGTGTGAT